TACTTTCCTAGTCGCTGACGGTTGCTCGAAAGCTGATAGTCGCTGGTGGACGCTACTGCAAAGTATGAAACGCAGCCTAATACTTCCTCGTTCCCTTGCACAGCTGTGTTGCTGTGTCGCATTTCAAAGTTACCTCATGGGAGGAATTCAGTTGTACGTTTGAACTAGACCCTGCCTGTGTTTCGCGCAGCCCTAGTAAGCTTCCAACCGCTTCAAGAAGCAGAGTGCTCCGTGGGGAGCATTCAGTCAACATTGCTATATGCTATGGAAAGCAGTTTATCTTCTGCTCACGGTTGCCATTATTAGGGAGATTAACTCAAGGCGCAGATGCACAAGAAGTAACAGTTTGCTAACGAGTTTCTCATGCATGCTGCCTCCAACCGAAGTGAAGAAGCTGGCACGTTATGAGCTTACCTGTAATACTGCCCGTTACTTTTCTGCAGCTTCTCGCTGAGTGCCAGAAACAGAGGCATTTGCGCTCCATCATCTTTCGTTTTCAGCAAAAACCACATCAGAGGCCTTTAAACATGTGGTAGAACAGCTGCAGATCAATTCTTCAAGAACAATAAAGCCTAGGCGTGGAGACCTACCTGAAAACCACCCTGACCCACTGAAATCCAGACTCTTTAAGGATGTTGGTGTCAACGCTGCCTGGATGGCAAACAGTAACAGTTACCGGCAAACGCTTTTCTTCCAAAAGCCTTGCAAGGTAGCGGGTGTACATCACCTAAATAAAAAACGACAATCTCATGGTTTTCTAAAGAAGAGTAGGTTCGCATGAAAGAGAATGAAGTTCGAGCAGGATGCACTGTGAAGAAGTTCGGAACAAACCTGTGCCATTTTGCTTCTACTGTAAGCCACCATGCCACCATAACGATTAGGATCATTTACAACGTCAAAGCTAAACTGCTGAGTATTGTCAATAAGCGCATCATGTCGAGAAGAACTGGCTAAACAAACCTTACGCTATCAGCAAATTCGTACATTATAGATGAGATATTTATGATCCGTCCATCGCATGACTTAGATATCAAAGGCAGCAGCAACTGGGTAAGTAGAAAATGGCCTAGAATGATAACTTGAAGTAGAGAGTGGATATAATTTTAGCTTATGCATCTTGAAGGAAATAGTTCGCATTGACAGGTTTTGTACTCCTAAAATGTTTGAGACGTGTGAGTCTGTTCTCTGGCCTGTCATGCAAAGTCTCGCGTAATGGCAATAGAATAGCTCCTTTTTGTGGACTACCCCAAAACAAGAATTCCAGGTCGTTTTCAGAAAAGAAGAGAAGGATAGTTGAGAATGAGAGGTTCACTGAAATGAGTGTAGTCTTACATTGAAATACCAGACTCCAAGTTCAAAAACGCTATTTCTTATCGTCATCCGAGAAACTAATCGCTTGAAATTCAGAAATAAATTCAAAACAAAACTTCAGCCACATCAGCTAGGGAGGGGCCAAAAAAGTCATTTACTTCCTTGACCATTCGAAGCGTTATAAGTTGCAGCTTTATTAAAAAAGCAATATCAATACCATCATGATGCCCGCCACAGCCTCTGGAAGAGCGCCCGTCGAAATCTGCACGCCAACCGTGAGTTAGTAACTGGCTTTAGCGAGATAGTTGATTTCTCCTCCACTGTAGCCCCCTCCCCTTGTTGAGCTCCGCCCGAACCCGGTGAGAGAGCTTAGGTCAGGGGACGTAATTGAACGTTTCATCTTTTCAGGTACTAACTGAGGGGATTCAGGTCAGGTGACCTACTTGGATATACCATCTTCTTTAGGTACTCAGCCCCTTCCATTCCAAGTAGGCGAGAGTTTCTCCAACGCCCTTCGATTCCACGTGGTGGCACCCAATGCTGTAGCAGTACAAAGTTTCCAAGAAGGTACGGGCGACGACATGTGGGGAGGATATTCTTCTCGAGTTGCTCGATGTAACCGCCAGCGCTCACCTTCAGTCCGGGTCTACAAAGAAAATATCGGTCTTCCCATTCCAGGTACCCCGGTCCATACCATCAACTCGCGCCTCGGCGACTACGGTGAAGATGATGTCCTAGACCGTAGCGACGTTGATGGTGAGATGATGTCCTAGCACGCGTAGCGAACGTTGTGGAGCTGCTCATGTTGGTGGTCTTCCAGATCGAGAGTACTGGTCTCCAGGTAGCTATCCATGGGTGACTCCATACTAGAAGTTTCGCAGCTGTTTGGAGGTGACATGAATTCCAAAGGTCTTCTCCAGTCAGGCTGCGACTGGAGATGACTTCATATTTTGGTGTACATGAAGGTGATGGGCGAGAGCTACGTCCTCTGTCTGGGCTTGGCGAACAACTTTGCCCACTATGTGATTGTTCATAAGTGACTTTTTTCTTTGCCCCCTGTAGTTCCTCCTGGTGTTTCATTTACGCTCGATGAAATTGATTTCTTGTCATTAAAATGATGTTGTGATTTTTCAGCTGATTGCGAAAGAGAGAGAAGTCGGCGTCGGACAGGGAAAAGTGTAAGCTCTGCGAAAACCGATTTCCGCTTATCCGTGCGATTTTGAGGGCGGAAGTAACCAAATATATCGGTCGTCTCTGACCCATGCCCCATCTCGTCTCAGCAGTCTGAACCCTCTTAGAGTCCGCCCCCTACCTGACGCGGGGTCAAGCCAGGTAGGGGAATCATACTTCCTCAATCATCCTCATCGAGTACACGTGGGTTCCGTTACATAAAGAGCTTAATACAACTTATTGTTCTTGTTCTTGCTTTGTATCAAATAACCACTGAACCACCGCCACATTTTTGGTGCATCGGCCTAAAAAAATAGCCGAATAGTACATATTATCCATATTTAGGAACGTATCTTTCGCATAACTTAGCAAATAGAGCCGAACGTGGTTCTATAATAAGTAATCAAATAACGTAAAATATAATAGAATCGAACGTGGTTCTACACCCAGCGCTAGATAATCTTTTACAGTCAACAATTAGAATCGAACGTGATTCTATAATAACTGTTAGTCAAAAACTTCAATCACTGAATAGAATCGAACGAGGTTCTTCAGTTGAAGTATTTCAAATTCTAGTCAATTCCTTACAGTCAATTTCTCAAATTTTAATTCATAACAATGGCGCTTCATTTCCACAGAAAACCTATCATCGCAAGCGCCAATACCCTTAAAAATTTGGTAGCGCGCTATAGGGAATACACCACTAAGGTGGACTTTCTGAATATTGATGAGGAGACCTACGAAAAATGTAGGTCCACCATCGCCCTTTTGCAAAGCAGCATAAGGCAGATAAAAGAGGGAAGCGAGAATTTACAAAAGCGTTATATGAAGTAATAATTGAGGAATATAGAGCCTGCAAAACAAGTCCGAAAGGAAAGATCTCATGCTCGAAATCGAGCAAATAGAAGAAGACTCCAATTACCATACTATCACAGCCGATGCGGACGAGCTCGGCTTCATGCTCGCAGCCCGCTTAGACGAGGCAAAGTGCGCGCGTGATAGGATGGATGTTAAGCTGGGGTATCTCACGCAGAAGGCCCAGAGAGCGCTAGAGTCACAGGAACGCGCGGGACGCTAA